TTGGTCAGTGTATTAGACTGGGACTTAATTTGTTTTGCAGAGAACCTCTCTCTCAACTGCTTTTTCTTTGTTCTCTTTTCTCTGGAACCACTCTATGAGGACAGGTATGAGATTCTAAGATTTAAAAATAAATAATAAAATAACTGTTCCATCTAATCTTCCTCATTTCAGTGGCCTTGAATTTTCAAACGGCTGGTACCGAGATGGACTTGTATGATGGGCTTTTTAGTCAAAATGGCCGCTGTGGTTATGTGTTGAAGCCGAGTTTCATGAGGGATAGAGAGACAGCCTTCAGCCCTGAGAACCATGAAAGCAGGGGTGAAGGTAACCCCTTGAGCTTAATGGTTAAGGTACTGTACATGTCTGTACCCATACTTTAAAGGTTTGGGGGAGGTTAAAAATATGTAACTTCCTCATGCTCAGCCAGACCAATGAACATAGAGTTCTGCCCCTCTCCAAGTTTTTAAAATTATATATATACACATTTGCCACTATGCTTTTATGGTTCAGTAAAGTCCACAATGACCAATAAAAACAATAATTATATTTTAAAGGAATGTACCCTTATATTTCCCCTGTATAATGGCAACTTCTATTGGAATGTTCTTTCTTTTGTACCAGAAAGTCTACATATTATGAAATTAACTAAGGATCTAAATTTGGAGAGAGCTGCATTTTATGTTGCCCGAAATGGGGTGGGGTGGGGCAAAAGGCAAAAATGAAAACAGAGGGAAAAGTACTTTTTTCTCCACCTTTCCTTTTCTTATTACTGCTGCCATCCTACTCTTCTCCTCTCCCCCCAATCAAGCCAGTCATTTACTTTTGTTTGTTTAAAATTCACATCTCCTCTTTCTGGAACACAGGTTCAGTTTGCCAGCAGCCACACAAAAGAACAGATACAATGAAGGAGCTCCCCAAGAATAATGGCTATCTTCTAGCACAGGGGTCCCCAACCTCTGGGCCATGGACTGCTACCGGTCCACAACCTGTTAGGAATTTGGTCACACAAGCAATGGGCGAGCGAAGGAAGCGTCATCTCTACATGCACAGGATCTAGGTTGTGTGCAAAACTATCCCCTCTCAGTCTGTGGAAGACATTTTTTCTTCCGAAACTGGTCCCTGGTGCCAGAAAGGTTGGGGTCCACTGTTCTAGCAGACCCTCCAGCTTCTGCACTCAAAGGAAATGCTGGCAGAGACCTTTGAGAGCATTTGCCAGAGCAATCAATGACTGACTCAGTAACATCAGTGCCAATGCAAAAGTGGCACTTCTAGGGTCAACTGGCAGCTGGGGACAAAAGAAGCCCTGGGCATTCTAGGACTCCTGATGAGTTGCTCTTTGTGTTGAGCAGCATGTTGCGAGTTTCAGCAGTGAGTACTTTTGCAGCTTCTGCCTTGTAGCTTTGACATGAGTTTCATGCTCATGCGATCTTCTCTTTCAGATCATTAGTGGGCAGCAGCTGCCCAAGATTCCCAACAGCAAAGAAGGCTCCATTGTGGATCCGTTAGTGCGAGTGGAGATTCATGGGATCCCTTCTGACAGTGCCAAGCAGGAAACCAAATACATTGACAACAATGGTGAGCCAGTCTTATTGTAAAGATGAAGGACAGTGGGCCTTTGATCTTACGCGTTTTCCTTATTTTTGGTTCATTCAATTCCTATAGCTTTCCCACCTCAGAAATGTGACTCTGGTTAGCTCCCAAGTTAATAGAACTAAAACTGAGCTCATATAAAAAAATTAAAAACAGTTGAAACAGATAAAACAACCAAAAATATTTAAAAATGAGACAGTAAAGACCTATACAGCTCACAAACAAGACAGCCATCTCTCAGGTTCCCCATTTGCATGGGATGATGACATAGGGGTAGGCAGCCTTGGCTCCTTTATGACTCGTGGACTTCAACTCCCAGAATTCTTGAGCCAGCATGGCTCAGCTTGGAAACTCTCCCTTTGCTGGCTCATGAATTCTGGGAGTTGAAGTCCATGAGTCATAAAAGAGCCAAAGTTGCCTACCATTGACATAGCTGTATCCTCAGAGACCCACAAGGTTAGGATCAATTTAACCTCAGGGGAGATGATGTTCCCGAGGGCAGGTGCTGTGACCCCTGTCAGCTAGAACTCCTTCGTAGATGGAATATGCCTGTTCTGCAATCTGTGCCAATGAAATTCAGATTCTCAGTGGAATAAAATAAATCTGTCACTGCAATAAATATACAAACCTGGGGAGAGACAATATTATGTAAATATGCCAAACTTCTTAAGCAACAGGGTACTGCAGTATTTGTACCTCTCTGTATTAAGCCTAGCAAAAACTAGTTGGCAAAGCCTTCTTCAGATTAATGGAGGATATTGTTCTTATGCTGTTTTATATCAATTCAATTTATATCAATTTAATATATAAATTACATCAATTATATTTATGTTGTTTTACAGGGATATTTCTTTTTTAAAAAATTGTTAGTAGATTTGAGAAGGTTTTTTTAAAGAGCATCTCCAAAGTACATTGGCTAAACATTCCTATATAACAAGACAGCAAAGTATAGGAATCATTAAAAAAAATCCAAAGCTGAATCTAATTTTACCACAAAATGCAACAGATTTGCCCAGTTTAATCCAGTGGAATTTCATTATGGCTAACCTTTTCTTCAGAATTTCAGTTGCTTAATTCCACCCAATTTCAATTATTTTATTTTATTTACCTTTGTATTCATGTTGGAAACATGAAGCAAAATATTTCAGAAAGAAAGAGGAACTTTGTCAAAAATACAATTTATATGCCAGTTACCCAGATTCCATACTATCAGCCATAAGGACTTTTTTTTTTCAAGCATTCAGAATAGAACTTGCACGACCGGGGTGTTAAGATGATTGTGAGACAAGAAGGGAAATAGAAGACAATTGTTTAAGGAAGCATATTAGAAACAGCATTGAAGAGAGGAACTGGGTGAGATTTTTAGGGGATGAGACTGGCACAGTCTGAGGCAGCGTTTCTCAGTCTCAGCAACTTTCGGAGTTGCTGATTCTGAGAGTTGAAGTCCACACATCTTAAAAGTTGCCGAGATTGAGAAACATCGGTCTAAGGGAAAGTTAAAAGAGACATTGAAATACCATTTAGTGAGGGCATCTTCACTTTATTTCAAAATTCTTGAACAGGTTTTAATCCACACTGGGGTGAGTCCTTTCGGTTCTACGTGTGGGTCCCAGAACTGGCCCTTCTACGTTTTGTGGTGGAAGATTATGATAAGGCGACTTGGAATGACTTTGTGGGCCAGTATACACTACCTCTCACCAGTGTCAAAGCAGGTATGGGACTCCTTATTACCCTAGTCAAGAAGTGGAGTTACCTCACACCAAGTCCTTGGGATAAAAATAATAATGGTCCCTGTGACAAAGGAGTTGGGGGAAATCACTTGCAACTACATTGGATATTCCTTTTCCAAGAGTATTGCAGTAATGTTTAATTACAAGAGGCTATGACCCCCCATCTGGCTGAATCTCCTGTTAAAATCCTATCTATACAGCTGGGAATTTGTTAGGTCTTCTACCAAGGATATCCTCCTTTCAGCCCAGCTCTAGGGAAAAAAGGAAAGAAAATGTGCTTTCAATCTTTTTTCAGGTGACATCATGGGCTATATTGTTGTTGTTGTTAATTGTGAAGTCCTGTCCGACCCATCGCGACCCCAGGGACTTCCTCCAGGTCTTCCTGTCCTCTACCATCTTCTGGAGTCCATTTAAGTTCACGCCTACTGCTTCAGTGACTCCATCCAGCCACCTCATTCTCTGTCGTCCCCTTCTTCTATTGCCCTCAATCTTTCCCAGCATTAGGCCCTTCTCCAGTGAGTCCTTCCTTCTCATTAGGTGGCCAAAGTACTTGAGTTTCAACTTCAGGATCTGGCCTTCTAAAGAGCAGTCAGGGTTGATCTCCTCTAGGACTGACCAGTTTGATCGCCTTGCAGTCCAAGGGACTTGCAGGAGTCTTCTCCAGCACCATAGTTCAAAGGCCTCAATTCTTTGTCGCTCAGCCTTTCTTATGGTCCAACTTTCACATCCATACATTGCAACTGGGAAAACCATGGCCTTGTGTATACGCACTTTTGTTGGCAGGGTGATGTCTCTGCTTTTTAGTATGCTGTCTAGATTTGCCATAGCTTTCCTCCCCAGGAGCAAGCGTCTTTTAATTTCTTGGCTGCAGTCCCCATCTGAGGTGATCTTGGAGCCCAGGAAAATAAAATCTGTCACTACCTCCATTTCTTCCCCATCTATTTGCCAGGAATTGAGAGGG